AACCTAAAATTATTTGAGGTGGACATACCTTGCATATAAGGTAGTAAAACTGCCAGTTTGAGGTGCGAGTGTTTTGGACACTACATGTGAGTGTTCTGCTGTGTCCAATGTCGTACCCTGATGGCAAATGAGTTGTCAACTAATGAGTTCTATGTTTAGTTGTAAACTGCCTAGGGAAGAATAACAAGACATAGAAACAGTGTACCATAAGTGGAATCTATTTGCACTAAACTAATATGGTTGGTACTCTATCTAATCAAGGTAAAAGCTTTCAATCCAGCTCTCAAAATGGTTTCTGCCAAGAGAAATAGTTGCACAACAAGAGACAATGGATATTCGAATAAAAAGAAACTTTTTAGCAAGACTTATTTGGCTGACAAAATTTCTTTAAAATTCTAAAAATAAAAAATTCGAGCATTATCCACGAACTCCATATCTATTTTGGTTTGTTTCAATATGAACAAAATCTAATTATTCAGACGGACAAATATTTAGGATTTTAATTAGTGAGTGTGCAAGATCGTAATTCTTTTTTCTTAAATGTTATTTTATAAATGGAGAAAGAAAATTTAAGAACCCATGTATTTGACGTGCAACTTTTTGTTCGATGCAAAAGTAAATTCGTAAGAAGTAAGTTTTATGCACTATTCCTCATTATGATATATGATATCACGCAACAGGAGATTCTTCACAATCCCATTATTTATACGATTTAAGAAATATGAACCCTACTACATCGAGTTTTGGAGACCCACGTTCTATCAAACTGAACTAAGATTCTTTTCTTATCATGGTATATGACTGTAAAGAATAAAGGATGACTTTTGTACCCCAATACATCTTGTCAACTTTATTTTTCTTTAAAACCTTCTTCACTTTCTCTTTTCGCCCTTCGTGCTCACATATCCCCCCCCCCCCCCTCTTACGTTTAAAAGTTAATGATTTGCATAAATAAGCCGTCTCAGCTGGTGATAGCTTAATAAAGAAATGCATAGTTTAAAAAAAAAAATTAAAGATATTCATCTCTTATTCTAGTGTATGCTTCTGGAGGAGCACGGATGCAAGATAGCAGTTTGAGCTTGTTGCAAATGGTAAAGATATCTTCTGTTTTACATGATTATCAATTAAATAAATAAAAATTGTATCAATCCTTATATTTCCTACGACTGAAGGGATCTTTTTTCCGAAGAACTCCTCACATGGTCAGTGATGGTATTCCCAATAAAGTGGATATACCTATAAAAAATGCACATCTCAAAGTCAAAATGAAAGGGGTTATTTATTTTTAATCTTCAAATCGAACCTCTTCATTCCGAATTAAAAATTAAAAATTCGGAATGAATTAAATCTCCCCAAGTTTTTATTTTTATTTTTATGGGAGACATGTTTCATTTCAAGATTCATCAACTATTATTTTTCTTCGACTAAAAAGTGGAGAGAATATGTGAACCCAAGGGTTATCATATGTGAGCTCGAAAGGCGTGCGAAGGTTTATCATACATGAGACCAAAAGGTCAAGAAACGAAGATGCTCCACTAAAAGGAGAGGAAGGGAACCCCTCTGCCTGTGGATTGAGTGAGGGAATTAATGGTAAGGACCCCCCCCCCCGGCCTGTGAATTGAAGGAATTAAGGATCGATGGGCCCCATAGTTGCTAATAGAGCTAGAATATATATTTTCTATTTACTACACTAAGCTCTTATCCTTGCTTTTCCCCAATATCTAATTCTACCTTCGCCCCCTCTCCCAATATGATATTAACAAGAAGGAAAGTAGTCGCAAATAGAAGTCGGGTCATTACGTACATGAGTTTTGTAGGAGAATTCTATTAAAGAGCTTAACGTTGGGAAATTGGAAATGTAATGGCAGCGTTATTATCCCCAAACATGAAATTGTGAAACGAAAAAAAAAAAAACTCCCCCAAGAAACATGACTGTACTGTTACTGTCTAATATGTCCAACATTTGTGTATACGAATAACGAACAATATTGTGTATTTCCCCTATCCCGCTTCTTTGACTTCAACTTATGCGCAGCCGCATCCCAATCTAGGAGTTCTTGAGGCACATTTCCATTCTTTCTATATTTTCCTCCATCTTAGCATTACCGAGCATATTCAAAAATTTATCTTTAAGGTCCACCTGTCTTCCCTCGAGTTTGATTTCTTTTTTCTCCTTGATCTTTTTTTCATCTAAATAAATATAGTTGCCCTTAATGTGGGTCGAACTGTATGTAGCCTTTAACAACTTGTTACATTTTGGATAGCATGAAGGTTGTTATGTTTCGCCATCCTAATGCATCATCACAGACACGTACAGCTAGGTCACCAGGAAGAGGTAATGGATCAGATGTCTCGTGCAAAGCGGAATCGGGACCGACGTGCTCCTTACCAGAATCCACTGTTGGGAGAGATGAGAAAGCTTCACATGATTCAATTATCTTTTCTTCCAACCTTCTAATTTATTCTTCGGGTTAGTGATCTGAGTCTCCCATGCTTTCACAATCTTAGCCCGATTATCGGTTAGTAACTTCCTCTCTCTGAAAATGAATGCCGACAATGAGAGAGTAGTTTTATCTCTGACATGCCCCTCGTACGTAAGAATCTCAAGCACCCGCCGCTTTAAATTAGCATATCACCTTATAAATAAAACATCTGTGTATTCTTAAGTCATCAGAGGGTAACTATCAAACTAATGTTTGAAGGAAGAAATAGGTGGACTTACCTTCGCATGTAGAGAACTAAATTTTCAACTAAGAGTAGGGTTGTTAATGATCCAAGGCGAGCCAAAGTTTTTCATAGTTCGGGCTCGGCTTGGATCATAGGTCAAGATTGAGCTAGAACTGAGCACAAAATAACATTCAAACCTGTATCAAAGTTTAGAAAAATAAACACAATATTTATCCCAATTTCAATACATAAAGCCCATGAATTCAAATCCTTTCAAATGCCAACCTGTTAAATGAGCTTGTTTGGGAGCTTTCGAGCTGAACATGGTACGACCCGAGTTTGGATCGTTTAGTTAACGAGCTTGTTCACAAGCAATCTTGATTAAGATGAATCGAACGTCGAATGAGTTTTATCGAGTCGGAAGCCAAGTCGTTCATGAGTGGATTGGTTAATTAACAGCCCTAAGAGTATTATTCTTGTACTCATGTAGGCGGATTTACCCGCTTTTTCCGTTGAAACCTACTCCTAAGAAAGAGTATACTTATATTATTTCATCCCTCCCAAACCCTTTAAATCAATCACAAACATGACAAACACAAATTATCTCAACAATGTTGTTCTTAACTGCCAGAGAGGGATCAACAAGAGGATCAATATTCACAACGGGAAGTTTTCAAGGAATTTTTTCTACCAATCCTCTAACTCCGTATTCAGACCATAATGTGAGTCTTCAAACTTTTCACATTATGTGTAAGAAACCGCAATTTTGAATGATTTTATCATTGATGATGCATATAATTGCATATTTATTGTTTATATTAGAGGTGAAAAATAATTTAAAAGTGAGAAGATACAAGTAGCCTCATAAAGAGATTTTTCCAGAAATAGCACTGTTTAAAAAAAATTCCAAAAATAGCACCCAACTCCGAAAAATTCCAAAAATAGCACCATTTTTGTAAAACCGCCACCCGGAGGTGCGTTTTTCGATGAAAACGCCACCCGAGGGTGCGTTTTTTTATGAAAACCGCACTAGTAGGGAGCGGTTTTGCAGACCGCACCCCCAGGGTGCGTTCTGCCTTTTTTTTAAAAAAAAAATCCTAACTTAGGTGGAAACTTCAAACGAACGTATCTTTATGTTCGGGTATCCGATCGTCACAATTTTTTTTTTGATTCCGCATTTTTGAGATCTTGCAAGCCGAAGACTGCCAAAGGTGGTTTGGTCTCGCCTTCGTACCAAAAAATGTCGTTTGCTACCCCGAACGAGCTTTTTTCCGATTTCGTCAAACTTTGGACTACCGTAACTTTGTGCTCCAAATCCAAACGACATGATTTTTTTTTATTTCGCATAACTTTTTAAGGACTACAATTTTTACTAGGAATGTATTTTCAAAACCGCTCCCTACCAGTGTGGTTTTCATCCAAAAATGCGCCCTCGGGTGGCGTTTTCATCGAAAAACGCACCTCCGGGTGGCGGTTTTACAAAAATGGTGCTATTTTTGGAATTTTTCGGAGTTGGGTGCTATTTTTGGAAAAAAAAAATTAAACAGTGCTATTTCTGGAAAAATCTCCCTCATAAATTCGGTTTTGTGTTAAAAACCGAACCAAATTCTAATTCAGTTTAAACCAACCAAACCGAATTATAATTCGGTTCGAATTCGGTTTGAGGTTTGAGAGAATTCGGGGACCCGGTATTCATAATTTCGGTTCGGTAGAAACCGAACCGACCGAATGCCCACCCCTAGTAGGCTAGTACAAAGCATACCTTTCTCGGCCTTTTGGTTAAGTTCAATTGTAGTATATATTCTTATCAGCTAAATATCTGATACGTAGACTAATAGCCTACACGATATTAAATTTATTTTTATAGGGGGAGAGGTCCACTACTTTACAGGGGTAAAAGCTTGACCCAGAAGACCCACTGACCCGTCCCGTCCCGTAGGGTCGAGACGGGTCAGTTTGTCTACAGGGACAGATTAGGGACGGGTCATTTGTTGACCCTGTAAAGGTCAGGACGGGTAGGGACAACTTAGGCACGGGTCAGGTTTTGACCCTATGACCCTTAAGCAACAACAAATATCTCACACCACATTGGACTTTTTGTAAAGTTTTAAAAGTTTAGGTACTAATTTGTAAAAATTAAAATTTTTGGGGTACCAAAACGTAATTTTACCATCAAAATTTATGGACTTATTTGTAAAAAAAAATAAATTTTAGGTACTAAATTGTAAGAAAAAATAATTTTGGGTACCAAAACGTAATTTATCAAAAAGTAGTATGTTGATTAGGGTAGACTCACTGACCCGGCCCGTCCCGTCCTTTGAGGGTCAGACAGGGTCAAGAAGGAGACAAGGACGGGACGGGTCAGTTATACAGCTTGACCCTTCAGGGACGGGACAGGAACGGGATAGGCAAATTTTAAACCCTACTACTTGAGCTTGCTTCAGGGACCTTCTCATGTGTTGCCCATGCGATGCACTACTGCACAGCCCTAACACACTCCACCAATTCTAGTCGAAGCCTTTAATTTGCTTAAATAACATATCGTTAATTGTTTGTACTATGATATTTTTCTTTAAGAGAGATGCTCTGTGCTAACAACAATATCATTATTTGGGTCCTGTTTTGTTGAAGTCAAATTTATGTGGTAACTGGAAACAAATCGATTGACGATGGGAAACTATATAAAGTTTTTGAGGAAAAAATGACACAATAATATTACAGTTTGTGTTGGCATTGTTTCTCCTCTCTTTCCTACTAAAGCTAAAATCACCATCTGGTAAGCTGGGCTTGACAAGGTTCCCAAATCTCATCTCTCGCAGACCCGGAAAGGGTTGTCTTGGAGAAGAGATGGATCCCTTCCCAAAAGGGTGTCTTCTCCCATCCCTATTTCTTACTTGCCGAAGAAGCTACGTGCTGCTAGAGAGGGACATTGACTGAACGAAGCTTGTACTCTTTACACTGAAAAGGAGGGAGGGTTTGTGTTAAGCATAAACACAAGACACATTTCAGGCATTGAAGTCCTGACGAAGATTATGCAGATTCTCCGGAGATAAGTTTCCCCTTCTCACTCCCATTCCCTACTCCTCCTCCTACTGTAACATCATCATCTCTGAAGAAATCGTCCTCTTCTTCCAATGCTCTCACCCTCGCTCGCAGATGAGATAGATCCTTCATTCTGCTCTCTTGCTCTGCCATTTCAGGGGAAATCAATCAAACACTTTAACACCCAATATCAACGGGGAATAGGATGAATCAGTGAGAAGAAAATCAGACATCCAAAAATATTACCTGTCTCATCGTCCGACGATTCAATCTCGAGTTGTTTCAGCCGGCGAAGTCCACCGAACTTGTTGGGCCTCACAGATCCTCCCTCCCCTGCATTCTCAATCTGATTCTTCCCTGAACTCTCCTCTCTGCTGGTGTTGCTCCCCATTCCGCCATAACTCGGGGTACCATACTCCGACGCCTCCACCTCCTGATACGCTCCATCATCATCATCATCTTCATCAACCTCATCAACTACAAACCCATCTTCCATTATATCCCCATACCTAATCTTGTAAGCCTCGATCTCGTTTTCCAAGTACTTCACCTGCCGGTCCTTCTTCTTCAGGTCGTCCCTCAGCAGCTGGATCGCCTCCTCGTCGTACTCCGCCTGCTCTTCCATCATCCGCTGGTACTGCAGCGCCTCCATCTGCACCGCCGCTTTCTCCGCCTGCAGTCGCGTGATCATCGCCATCGCGTTGTTCGCCGCCACGGCCGATGCGTTCCTCTCCTCGTCCAGCTCCATGTACAGCTCCATCAGCGACTTCCGGTCCAATCGAACCTGTCTTGGGTCCCCGCCCTCTGGCTCCGTCGGGGCGCTCTGGTCTCCGGTCCCGCCTCCGCCTTCCTCGGCGGAGAAATCGGACCCCCTGTCGAGCGCCGATTTCTTAGGAGGGCACCGAATTGCCCACCGAGGAGTCGTGGTTGCTGAATCGGTCAGCGGGATGCCGAAGAACTTGTTCCCTCGGATGAAGCTAGGCGTCCTCATCAACTCCTCGCCCATCTCGTCCATCATATTACTGTTGTTATTCTCCGCGTCGAACCTCGTCGAAGGCGGCAGCTCGAGATGGCGGAGAGGCGCCACCGTCGGTGGCGGCAGCGCTCGTGGGGACGGAGTTGGAGCCTGTGAGAATCCAGCGTTTTTCCCCTTCGGTTTTCCGCCTTTGAGTGGTCCCCCACAGCAGGAGCATCGGTGAAGGGAATGGTGGGCCTGGGCCGCGGCCATGACGACGTCGTTGGGCTGTTTTGGGAGCTGGACCTCGTCGTCCTCGAAGAAGAGCTCGACGTCCTTGTGGAGGATTCCGACGAGGGATTTGTAGGTGTCGGAGCCGGATTCTTTCTCGGTGGCGAAGGAGAGGAGGCAGCCCTCGCACATTTTCCTGATGTCGGAGAGCCTCTTGTGGATGTGGCAGTAAGCGAGGCTGGAGACCTTTTTCCGGTGGGAATCGCAGATGGAGTCGTTGTAGTAGAAGTCGTGAGATCTGTGGCGGAAGGCGTGGTCGATTCTGGTGCAGAATAGGCATGGCAGCCGGAGGTCGAACAACTTGGCGTATTCGTTGGCGAAGAAGGCCAGGAACCCGTCGACGAACAGGACTAGGATCAAGAACCATTCCAAAACGGCGTAGACTATGAAGTGCGGCCACTTGCCCAGTTCCTGTTCCACGTAGCCTCTCAATGTTCTCTTCGTCGTGGGAACCTTGGTTTCCATGGTGTTTCTTTCTTTTGCCCTTGTGGGTTTTCTCTCACAGAACGATGGTGGTGCGAGATATCATGATCACCACCTGAGCAAGATTTTTTTTTTTTTTCCTTTTCTTCCTTCCCCTCTGTGTATGGCTGTGAGAGAGGGGAAGAAGAGAGGAGGAGGGTGAAAAACTCAAAAGAGAGAAGGTGGGGAAGTTAATGGAAAAATTAGATCTTGGGGTTTCAAAATTTGGATGGTTTGTTTTGCACTTTGCTATTGTTAGACAACAAGCAAGCTGCTTTCTATTGGAAGAGGAGGAGAAAAGGACTTTGATGATGAAGGTGGGTTATTTCTTCCCTATTTTCCCACCTGAAATAGAGCTCTGAAAATAGAGTCTCGATGTTTCCATTTCTCAACGATAGATAGATAGATAGAGAGAATGAGAATTGCATGGAAAATCAAACACGAACCCTCATTCATCATCTTAAAACATTGGCCGCCATCAAACCAACATCAGTAACTTGGAATAACTACAATCACAAGTTCTTCCCAAAGATAAAAGACACTACTACATAAATGAACAGGAAGTGGGTCTAGAAAAATTACTGAGTTCCTCACCGTAAGCTTTCCATTTCAGTTAGTAAGGGTATGCGGCATGCACTGTCAGTCGAGACTTTGTACTTTCTACCACGAGTGTTAGCTTGCTGGCGACACATTAGCAGGCATGTAAGGTGACATACATCCTTGAACCTAAAGAGGATCAAGAATCTGCTTCGGATCAGAACTCATGTTATATCAAGACCGTACCGTTAAAGGACGAATTGAGAGCAAATAGAGAAGATCAATCACCTTCAACAAACAAGTAGGTATCTCGATGAATCCATGTAGGAGAAGATCAACCTTTTCCAGGGTGGTTTGGGGAACAGGGGTGATTATGTAAAGCAAACCTTTCGATGTATCGATTACTCTCACTATACCTGCTCAAGTGGAAGCAAAACATAACAAGACTTACAAATTAGAGTGAGTTGCATTGCAATATTATGAATGGTTTCTTTCTTCTGGAAGGTGGTAATTCAACATGTTGTTAGCAGTGAAATGAAGTTTCGACTTGATAACCAAAATGTGTTGAGACAGCAGCAGGGAAACAGGACGTACCAAGACCGAGACACCATGGTAGAGTTCCTGCCTTCTCAGAACTATTTGCCAAACTGACAATAGTGGCATTCAAACTGTATAAGACTTCTGCTTGAGGTACCTAGCAGATAGATAAAATATTTCAACCATTATGAAAAAGCAGTCCAGATAGCTCCCCTTAACATGGAAAATCTTGCATAAGTTTCAGATGTTCTAGACCAACCTGGCAATACAGATGCTTTATCTTGATAGTTGATATAGGAACTTGGTAAGGAGGGTGAGAAGCAAGGGCATTTGCAAGTTCCTTGATTGTGGTAACACTCAAGGTGCTAGGAAAGCACTGTCTGAAATAAGCCATCATTCTCAAGTCCCGCAAAAGATATGCATCCTTTTTCACTAGCGCCTTGTTCACAATTTTTTTTTTTTTATTGAAGTACTTATCAATATCACAATTTCAGAAAAAAAAAGAGGTTTGGAGAAATAGCTACCACAGGCAAATGAAACAAAGAAATCATGGCAGTTACTGCAACTACAATTAACCAACGGAAGAGTTATGATATTGATATTTCAACTTAAAATCCTAGGAGTGCTGTAAACTATAGATATCTAGAAGCATATCATACAAAAATTCCCATCTTTCCAGACTGACAGAATATCATAGTTTCTTGATGAACTAACGGTCTATTGAAAGAATTTTGATGAGCTGAACAGATCTCAATGAGATCAACCTCCTGGTCTGCAGCATCATCTAACCAAAATTTCCCAGCTGGTAGATTCTTTTTTTGTCGAAGATATATCTATCTTGACCACATGACTGGGAGCAATAATATATATTTCAACATATCCACCAGTATATCATAACCAGCACCTGGAAAACAAGAACTTGAGAGTTAGTCTACTAGAATATGAACCTATACATGAAGAAGAATCGTCGCAGTCGAAATGGAAATAGAAAATAAATAAATAAATAAAAAGAATGTACGGAAGCATACCCTTAACCCAACCCGGGGTGTTAACCCGGAGGGTTCAATAAAACTCAGCAATTGTATGTACTGCATTCTTAAATGCATCCCTGTGTGGCCACTAAGAAGGTCAAATAGCCAACCTCTCAGGTGTCTTTAAGCAGGGAATTGTCAAATCTGATATTCAAAAAAACAGATAAGCAGAGAGAAGTTAAGACAGAATTAAAATGAATCATAGTGAGAAAGAAACCAAATGAATACATTTCAAGGAAAAATCAAAGCACCTTCAGTTAATTTGTCAACCACTGTCAAGGATAAGAAACCAGGAGTAGTAAACTCAGGCTGCCCGACATCGGTATCCAAGTATCCCACTTTTTTATATCTGCAAAAACGTGACAGAGCTAAGCAAGGACCATGGGTCGCCGAATTCTGGGAGGTGGTTTTTGCGATTCCGATCGAGATGGAAACTGGTCTCTGTTTTTTCTTTTTGGAACTCGGCCTCTATTTTATCTTCTTCTCTGATACCGTACAGCGTTCTGTGAGATGATTTTACAGTGACCAATCTGCCATCTTCGAGTAAGCTTCCTGAGCCGCGCGGTACCCCTTCTTCTTCTTCTTCCTCTCCAATGAGTTCTTTCGCACTATTCTTCTTCGCCGGTTGCTCGTTTTCTTCGCTGGCGTTTTGATGTACTCCCGTCTCGGCAAGCTCAACCCTCATTCTCTTTCATGTATGTGACTCTAGGTAGAATGTCTCGCCGGCTAGGGGACACAGCGACGAGAAGAGATATCGATAGGCGGCGGTGGGAAACTGTGCAGGCAAGGACGGTAAGAGTTTGTTGGATTATAAGAGATTATTTTTATTTTTAAATAGTTGAAAATGAGGTGGAAATTTTAAAAATTAATTTTTATTTATTTTATTATTTTTGAATTGCCACGTCACACATTTAATGATCAACTATAGAAGTTGACTGCCACATACAAGTTCAAACTTTTGTTACTATAGGTTTGTAACCATTTGTACACAATGCAAAGGTTTGTGACCGTTTATGATAACTACCCAGGTTTTAAGTGTTAACTTTTAAGCATCTAAAACTTGCTCAAGGGCAGGGTGAGCATCATTGTAGATTCCATTTTCAACTCATGATGAACTCTGCGTTCTAAACTAACCCGAAATGTATATTGTGTGTAAAGCTATTAATGAGCTCGAGCACTTGATTATCAATGAGCTAACTCGAATCAAGTCGATTTATTTATTAAAATCTTGGTTTCTCATAAAGATTGGCTCGATCTCAATTCACTTATTTAGTTGAACCCTTAAACTAAATGATAAGGTAATTCATAAATTAAATACTCTTATATGTAGTGTATGATACACATGATTAACTTATTCCATGTTTCTATACTTTGTTTAGAATTGTTAGTCGATTAGATTATAGTGGTTCATGTCTGTAACATCCCTTCTATTTTTAAAAAAAGTTTACATTAAAAATGATGCAATGTTCTAGAATGCTTGTGTGAGTCTGTTCAATTCATGATGATGTGTTTTGACGCCATTTCCAAGTTAGAGCACGATTAAACACGTAGTCATGGAATTGAATGAGCTGGGAAAGACATCCCATTTCCCATGTCATTTTCGTCACTTGGATACCATGGGAAGAAGAGAGGGCACGTGGATCCAAAATTGGGTGAAATGTGCATGCAATGGAAGAGATGAACATGTGTCACCAATCTTCCTTGTTTTTCAATGCCTAAATGAATTATTTAAAGTACCCAGAATCACAAACATACACATACACGTGTAGGACAAGATAGAAAGGGAAGGGGAAATAATTGTTGAGATAAGCCTTCTACTTTTTTCGAGAGATGGAATGATAGCAAGGCAAGTTCTGGTTTATATATAGGTGGGTAATGAAATCGCATAGGAAAAAAAAGAAAGGAAGAGGGAGAAGGTTTCGGGAGTGGGGTGGCTATCTCTCGCCACCAAAAGCTTCTCCTTTCAATTATTCGTGTCATTGTGAACGAAGGGAGAGAACGTTAACCTTGCAAGGCTACCGGGGGAATTTCTAGTCTCACTAGGTGAAGAGTAAGATGGGGAAATCATCGAAAGGCAAGAGTATAACGAAGTAACGACTATATGGGTGAGTAAATCTTAACCTAATGCTTATATTAATACGATTATAGTATTCGGGTCATGAAGTGACTCGAGTATAAGGTAAGTTAGTATTGTTTGATTTGTGTGATATCATAGTGTTGTTTGTATGAAAGTTGTTTGTATGAAAATGGATGATGACTTATATGTGTGTATACTTACTTGAATGATCATGTTGGTATGTGACATGTATTGTATAATATATTGCATGATGGTTTTTGGTATGATATATGGGCTATGACGATGTGATATAAAATGAGATATCTGGTACATGAAACAAGGAGTAACATTTGAGGTGCTAAAGCGAAATGATAGGCAAGACACCTTGCCTAGAACGAAAGTGCATGATTAGAATATGGAAATGGCCTATAAGGCACATTAATGAGAAAGGTCAGAAGATGGTTAAAAGTATACTATCTGTATATGAAAGGGGAATTGATTGGCCTTAATGGCATACATGGAAATGTTATTGCATGGTCAACTAAACCAAACATAATGCTTGCCTTGTTATACACTCAACACAAGATATGGGAAAAGGGAGAACATGGTATGATGACACCGGACGGTGATTCGTTCCGCGGTGGTATGTGATATGATGAGACTGGGCTGGGTACGTCCCGCAGTGGTATAATGGCACCGGGCTGAGATACGTTCCGCGGTGATAGGTTTTATTAGAACCAGTGGTAATCCCTATTCCTATATCTTGGAAGAGTGTATGATTTGACAAGCTAATAAAGTAAAAGCCACTGAATCAACCTAACTGTGATGTGATTGAATCCTTGTATAAGGATTTCCTATGATGAGATTATGTAATGACTTCCTATGATCTTATATACAAAATGTGCATGTGGATGATATAGTTATGTGATGGTTTTCTATGCGTTTACTACATTGATATGATATTGGAGTGCATGATGAAATGAATAGATGTGTGTGTTATCGAATGAAATCTCTTGTGTCGTGATCTATCTGTGATGTGGTATATGGCATGTGTTGTGAGACCATGCTTGAAAATGACTATGTATTGTCGGTT